GAGAGAGCTCGTAGGCTTTCTGCTGCGGGCTGCCCTGTGGCGAAGGGAGGGGGAGAGACGAAGAACGAGGCCCTGACTCCTCGTGTCCTGGTCTCTGCGCCTCCGGGCCCAGCTGCAGACCGGAGCGACGCAGCCGAGGCTGCGTCACTGCTATCTGCAAGCTGGGGAGAGGGGAACGGGAGTGGTGCAGCTCGGGGGCGGCACGCACTGCCATTCTGACCCTCTCGGACGGAGGAAACTGGTCTTATTATACTGCCAGTCTCGACCGTGAGGGGAAACGAGGAACGAGGCCCAGGGGCATCGAGTCCTGGTTTCCCCTCACCCAGCGAGAGACAAGAGTGACAAGGCCGCAGCCCTCACTGCCATCTGAGCGCTGGGGCCCGTGAACGACTCAGAGGAAGTGGACTGCTCAAACTTTGGGTACCGCTGATTACAGGATAACCAGCGGCGGAACAGAAACTAAATTCTCCACCCGACCCACCCCCGGGGGAAGGAGTGGTAATGACACGCACTCCCAAAGAGCAGAACGTCACATACTCTGGGTCGCTCCTCTCAGGGTCGCTCCCCTTCCCTTTGCTGGGGGAAAACAAACTCCGAGCGGGCTGGTTTTGAGGTGCTTCTGGACCACCAGTGTGGACATCGTCTAACCGAGGGCCAGCGCTGTGACTAATCACGGTCAGTCACTAAGCACAGCTCAACCCCGAGTCAGAACTACGCACGTGCAGTGGTAGTGAGAGAGGAAAAACTTCTGCAGATTTAGGCATGTTTGGCTTGCCATATTGGCACCAAAATGCTTCCATACTACCAAAATTCTTCACACACATCCAGGCACTTTAGAACAGCCCAGGAAAGTGTGGCCGTTAAGTCTGAATCTTCAGCATGAGAACACACCAATATAGTAGGAACTCAGCATCATTTTCAGAGTATAACCGCCCTCTCTCCGATGTAGCGATCGACATTTGTCCTCCCTGGGGCCCCGAATGAAATGCCTGGTCCCTCATGAGAAGGACCAGAAACCCATTCGAAAGCCTCGACGGCACACGGCACGCTGAGCTGCTCCAACCTTTACGAGAAAGGGGAGGCGAACAACGTGCCGACGTGGTCATGCACTCCTAAGAGAACATGAACCACCCACGAACGCAGTCTCAACACACTGATTAGGCATGTGAAACCGTGATCGTGGCCGTCAACCAGGCATGCAAGATAGTGAACGTGGCCATCGCTTCGATGGACGCTCAAGCCCTCAGGCAGGCGAACAACGTGCCGACGTGGTCATGCTCTCATAAGAAAGCATAAACCACCCACGAACAGAATCTCAGCATGTTTGTGATGCGCTAGAGGAGTGAGTGGTTCGTGCTCACTGAAACCCTCAGATCATCAATGTTATTCGCCAAAGCAGCCCTCCTCTGGTGCACCAGAAGAGAAACTGGATCGGGAAACAAGCAAAGGGACTCAACTCATAGAGGCACGCGAGTCTTGATCTTGACCACGCATCTTGAGCGCCGAATGACGCGCCCTGGGTTGCCGTGACAACCCGCGCTGTCAGCCGGCGCTCGACGGCACACGGCACGCTGAGCTGCTCCAACCTTTACGAGAAAGGGGAGGCGAACAACGTGCCGACGTGGTCATGCACTCCTAAGAGAACATGAACCACCCACGAACATAGTCTCACACACTGATTAGGCATGTGAAACAATGAACGTGGCCGTCAAATAAGGACAGGAAACCATCGCATCCAGAAACACACAAGTGAAACGTCATCCTGAAAAGGACGCGATCTTCACTCGTGTTGCTCTTTCAGGAAGAAAGTACTCTCTCTCTATTGTGCTGAAGCACACAGGGACCCAATGCGGCAACACAGCGGGGAAACTGCAAGCCCGCTGTACGCACTCAACCGTTTACCAGCTGTGAAAACAGCTTTTGATTTAACAGCATATAGACGCAGCCGGCAGACAGGAAACCGCGCGGTCGCTGAAACGCCATCTCACCAACACAGAGAGATCCCCTCCCGAAACAGCAGACTCGTAGTTGTAAGAAAACTACATTTCTTAAAGCTCACTCACTCAGAGAGGACACAATCGGACGGCTCCGAAGCTAAAAGCATTGCGCAATGTTTACTTCCGCCCTTTATACCCGCGTTGGTAGGCGGGTCGCGGAATGCAAATCTTGCATGCCAATTTTCATTGGCTCGTTTTAATTCACTCGAAGGCAATTGGTCTCCCTAGCGTGATCCCAATGGGCTATATGCACGCATAACTTCCGCATTTGACGCAAGGACGCTCGTGCGTTTCCGGTTGGGGAGATTTAAAGCGGAGGAAAACCGAGGAAAACGGGATTATGGGAGAGTCTTCAAAATTTACTGTCCTCTCATCTTTGAAACGAAACTTTAATACGTTTAGATGTAATTTTATATATAGTTATGCTTATTTAATATAATAAACACAGAAGCTTAAACAAAATGAGGAGTGTCTGTTTTGTCTGTTTTTGTGACTAACGTTTCTTTAGTATAGCAATAGAGTATAAAAACCAATATAAATTCTCGGTATAGCATTGGACTCTACGATCGGCGGAAGTAATCCAGCATCCTTAGACCTTCACCGGAAATACCGCCGTGCATAGAGCCCATTCGTCAGGGAACTCCCCGACGACAAGTTGGAGTTCCCAGGACGAAAGGGAACTGTATTTATTTGAAATAAAACAATTTTTTTAACATTATAAACTAATCTGTTACTTATGATCTATTTAATGTACCCTTGGGAAAAAAAATAATTAATAATGTTTTTTAATAATACCATAATACGCTATATCTAGAATGCTCCGTTATACAGAATAATTGAGTCAAAACATGGTTATGAACAGCAGCATCTCCCCTCCAAAAGTATTGGAACAGTGAGGACAATTCCTTTTATTTTTTCTGTAGACTGAAAACATTTGGGTTTGACATCAAAAGATGAATATGAGACAAGAGATCAACATTTCAGATTTTATTTCCAGGTATTTGGATCTGGTATACAACTTTGACAAGATATACACTTTAGTTTGAACCCACCCATTGCTCATGTGACCAAAAGTATTGGAACAGATGAACTTAAAATAGATTAAAGTGAATAAAACTTAATATTTAGTTGCAAATTTTTTGCTTGCAATAACTGCTTCAAGCCTGTGACCCGTTGACATTAGTTATTCACCAACACTGTCAGGGTGAGATCATTTTAGGGCAAGTCTTCTCTAAACAATGTTTGTTCAATTTCTTTCCTCTTTAATCACTGATATCATGCATACTTCACTTCTTTCTGGTACTGTCCCTACTGCACTTTAAACTGCTGTTATAACACCCATTCTTAAGAAACCTGGGACAGACTCAAAGAATTTAGATAATTTTCGTCCCATTTAGAATCTGCCGTTTCTGTCCTAGAAAAAATGGTTGCTATCCAGCTCCGTGAATATCTTTCTTGTAGTTTATATGAGCAGTTTAAATCAGGGTTTCGTTCTCACCACAGTGTTGAAACTGCACTTGTAAAGATTTCTAATGATCTATCTGCTGATGCTGGTCTTTCATCAATACTTATACTTCTTGATCTTAGTGCAGCATTTGATACCATTTCACATTCTTGAGCAGGCTGGAATCTATTGGAATTACTGGTGGCTTTAAGCTGGTTTCGTTCCTATCTCACGGACAGCATTCAATTTGTACTACTTAAACAGTTTAAATCAAAACCCACCTATGTTGTCACTGGTGTTCCCCAGGGTTCTGTTTTAGGACCTCTTTTGTTCATTATTTATCTTTTACCAATTGGCATAATCTTTAGGAAATATGATATTCATTTTCCTTGTTATGCCGACGACACCCAACTTTATCTGTCTTCTAAGCCTTCTTCAAAATTTCCCTCTTCTGCTCTTGGTGAGTGCTTAAGTGAATTAAAAAATTGGTTTTCAAGTAACTTTCTAAAATTGAACAGTAGTAAAACAGAAATTATTCTCATTGGTTAAAAAAATACAATAACTAAGTCAAATATTTCTTCTGTGGTAATAGATAATTGCTCTGTTCCTCTGTCTAATCAAGTTAAAAGTTTGGGTGTCATTCTTGACAGAACTCTGTTTTTTGAAGCTCATATTAACAGTGTTACCCGTTCAGCAATCTTTCATATTAGGAATATAAATCGTCTGTGCCCTGTCCTTTCACTCAAGAGTACTGCTAGTGCTACGCTTGTGCATGCTCTTGTAACATCACAAATCGACTATTGTAATGCTTTGTTTTATGGGCTTCCTTCCAAATCTCTTCATAAATTACAGTTGGTACAAAATGCCGCAGCTCGAGTCATTACCAAAACTTCCATTTCTGAACATATTTCTCCTGTTTTTGCATTGGCTCCCAGTTAAATTCCGTGTAAATTTAAAATTTTTACTTTTAACTTACAAAGCACTTAACAACTTGGCTCCTTCATATCTTGTTCATACACTCCTTCCCGCATTTTAAGATCGGCTTCTGCACTTACACTTGTTCTTCCACGCACACGGACGACTTCTATGGGGTCACAAGCTTTTGGTTATGCGGCTCTCCATTTATGGAACTCACTTCCTGCAGAAGTTCGCAACAGTGCTAGTCTTTCAGTCTTTAAATCTCGTCTTAAAACGTATCGGTTTAGGCAGGCGTTTATGTGATTTAATGTTTGTTGCTGTACTGGTTTTATTGTTTAATGTGATTATTTTATGGATTTTGTAAGGTGTCCTTGGGTGACATGAAAGGCGCCTATAAATGAAATGTATTATTATTATTAATGTGTTATTTTTACATTGCTTCTTTACCTCTCCTCTTTCACACAAATACAAGCGCTGCTCTCAAATTATCCGTCAGACTTTATTCCCAGAAGTCTAAAGTGGGAATAAAGGCTCCCTCTCTTTAATGAAACAGTCAACTTCGATTCACACTCTGGTGAGTGAAACAGCCTTGTTAAGCAGCTTAATAATAAAATCGTGTGAGAAAGAATGAGAGAACTCACCTCTTATCTGCCAGATCTGTTTTATTTCCCACCAGCATTATGATGACATCACTTCCTCTCTCCGTTCTCACATCATCGATCCATTTGGTAGTTTGTTGGAATGAATTCACATCTTTATAGAGAAAAACAGAGACAGAGTGTGGTAAGTAGGGAAAACAGTGAAATAATCTATGTTGCGATTGATATTTTCTGTTTAATACGTTAAATTAGCGCAACTAATGCTGTTTTTGTTTTTCCAATTCCTTAAATATATGCTATGCTTTGCCACGTCTTTGAAAGTGTTAAGTTATTAATGTTTTTTTAAAGATTAACTTTAAGTGAGCATTAGATGATGACACAAGTAAAATAAATGTCCAAATAACGAAAATGACCATGCAAAGTTACTGTAAATATCCAATATTAGCCATGTTTATTTATTTTTGTGCTATTTTAAAGGTTCCTAATTTTGTTTTAGAGGTCTCCTACATCAGGTTTACATGCATCAGTCTGAAAATCACTCGTTCAAAGATTCGACCTCTCTAAGTCCCGCCTTTCCAAAAGCTATACTCTGCTCTAATTGATCAGATGGCCCAGTCTGTTGTGATTGGTCGACCGCTTACAGCATGTTGGAAATGAAATGGCCATCACCACCATAACTGAATTTAATTTAAAATCCTCAGCAATTGTGTACTCTGTAGTGTAAAGACATTTTATCGATGAAACAGGAAGAACTAGTTATTCAACCCAAACCTCCATCGCAAGGACGACTTGAGCAGGATTTCTCAGTGGTAAGATTTTACTCAGTTTGTCGTACATTTTGAGATGTTGCAACTCTAATTCCCTTACATCAGCATGTGTATCATCAGCAAGTGTATGTCCATCAACAAGCCGACGTGTATATTTCAAATATACGCATTTGCAGGAATTGTATTATTAACTGTATCGATGCATACGTAAGCCAAGCACTAATGTGAATGACTGATGTATCATTACAGTTTGTAAACCAAAATCTTGCTCCATTCTTTATCACTCAAAGTAGTAAGAACGACAGACAATCTGCATTAACAGACACAGTTTTAGGTAACAGTGGGCCAACAGCTGATTAGCAGAACTATTTCAGTAAGACAACGTGAGTTAGCCGGAGACCTATATATAAAACACAAAACTACATATTTTGAACACTCTGTATAAAATATCAATAATCAGCGATCGGGATGCTTTGGCTTCACTTTTCAGCACTTGTGCGGCACGCTTGGTGTCAGCCAATGAAGACTATAGGCTGGCATTATGCAAATGTGTTACATTGTTACGTATGAGGTAACGGACGTAAGACTAGAATTACTGACAACTCGTTTTGACAGTTCAGATCAGAATTGGTTCTTTTTCTGACCTTTTACATACAGCTATTACATGAAAGGCAATATCTAAAAAAGCATAATAGGGGCACTTAAAATAATAACTTATTAGCCCATAGTGGGAAAGAAACTGGCACAACTTTGTGTGTGTGTGTACCTACTTAACTATATTTTGGAGACAAATTTGTACCCAGAAGTGACCAAAACCTGACAAAATCTCCCAAAACCTTTAGGGACATCCTCATTTATAAATCTGGTATAAAAATAAAATAATTAAACATTTTTTTTTAAATGTAAAAATGCAGAAAGTTTTGTGTGATGGGTAGGTTTAGGGGTAGGGTTAGTGTAAGGGGATAGAATATAGGCTACAGTTTGTACAATATAAAAAACCTATTAAGGTAGCTAAGTAAACGTGCGTGTGTGTGTGTGTGTGTGTGTGTGTGTGTGTGTGTGTGTGTGTGTGTGTGTGTGTGTGTGTGTGTGTGTGTGTGTTAGTTATGGTTATATAATTTTTCCTCATTTTAAAATACACTAAACATATTCCAGCTATTGTGCACCATAAATTAACTCACTCATAAAGTAATTTTATACCAAAACTTTTCAACTACGATGTCAGATGGCTGGGTAGAGGTTCTTTTTGATTCTGAGGTTTTATTATGGCATTTATGCCTGCTCATGTGCAGCCTGACATCAGTGAACTTGCTTCTGCTTCAAGGTGAAATTGACTGCTTTACCTATACTATAGAATCAGTGTTTATAATAGAGTCGTGTGCACCGCTAACTCTGGCTCTAGAAGTCACACTAGGGCTTATGGATAGATAAAACTGTCATTTATTTATTGTGAAAAATGACCAACAGCTGCTTCTTACATCTTCGGGGATGAATCTATCTGGTTATAGTGTTAAAGACAGACCTGTAACACATACTTTACTGATAGAAAATGCATGTCATTGATCACATCTCAAAATGGCAAATCGGACAGCTGTAATCATATTAACTGCTTTAAAAAAAAATCCTCTGGGAAATGTATTATAGCTAAAGGAGGTTTGGTTATTGGTGTGTGTGTGTATGTGTGTGCGTGCGTGTGTGTGTGTGTGAGACACTCACTTGTGATGTCATACACCACCACAGCTACAGTGGAGTCTCTTATATAGCTCGGGATAAGGCTCCTAAAACGTTCCTGGCCTGCAGTGTCCCACAACTGCAACCGAACCTGCAAGTCAGAGATCCCCAACTGAACAGTCAAATTATTTAGCCTCTAAAACACACATATACACACAATTACATAAACATATGCAGAGCCAAGCAAGGAGGTGGATCGATATGACCTCATAAAACCACACCAAACTGCCCCGTTGAAGGTCATGAAATCATTTCTGGGTTATAAACTCACAGAAATCTCTAGACGATACAATCTATTTCCTTAATACATGAGCTTCCAGCTATATACTGAAACTGTCAGCAACCAAACTGGTAATAAAAAAAAACCTTTTTGAGATTCAATATGGTGTTATTAAAACTTTTCTCATTTGACATTGAATAGACAGAAGACTAGTGCATTTGATTTACTGCTGTGTTTAACATAGTAGAATGCTTACCGTTCTGTCCTCCAAATACATGGTTTTTGACAGGAAGTCGATTCCAATTGTCGCCTGTAATGACAGAAGGAAAACATCATGTAAAAACAAAATAAAATCAGATGCTGAAATTGAGTGGAAATACATCTATTTCTGTGCATGGAAAACATAAATGTGTCCTTGATATAGTCCTGAGAATCAGAAAATGTGGTTTAGATTAGAACAGACAGCCATTACGTTCTGCCTGTCAGTTTGATGAGGGTAATAACTGCTATACTGTAGCCTACATGATAACTCTGTTCTGGGACCTGCCTCTCTTTATGATATATTACACATATTACACTGTCAGAGTGTGGCTCCTGACCATTAAAAACAACATACAAATATTAAAAAATAAATAATAATAATATTTTTTTTTTAAATTCTCTGATGAGGAATTAGTTAATATCAGATTACATTTATATCTGTTCCTCACATAAAAATTAGGGATGGGCAATACATCATATTGTTTATTTGCCAATTTTAACAATTATTTTATGCAGGCCTATCGCTGTTGGTCTATATTGGATGAATATTGGCTAATATTGGATATCTACAGTAATATTTTAATTTACAGTAAAATTACAGTGTTCATTTTCATTATTTGTACATTTATATTACTTTTGTCATAATCGAATGCTCACTTAAAGGTAATCTTTTTAAAACATTAAAGGAACCGTATGTAAGATTGTGGCCAAAACTGGTACTGCAATCACTTTCAAATTACTGTAGAGCGGTGTATCCCCTCCCCCTCCCCCACCCCCCTGACTCGAGGTTGCCATAGGCTGCAGGATCCAGCAAATTCTTCTCCGGTTTCAGCCGTCTCCATCTTTCAAAGGCATCTCCTATACAAATCCTTGTTTTATTTCGGACTTTGTCACGAAGTATTTCGGAATCCTAACAAGGTTTTTTTGGATTCGTAACGTTAGAGATTTTTTTTATCCGACACGTTTGTAGCCGTAGCTGTGGTAACTACAGCAGAGCTGGCAACCCGGATGCCGCAACACTACTTACTTCGTGATTGGTAGATAGGTGGAGGGTGGCGCATCAGACTAAAACACAATAACAACAACATCAGTTGAGGGCTGCAACTTCACTTTTTAAATGACAATATCCTGGCCGGACTACTGTTGTCAGTGATATAAGTATTTGAAATGAACATGATTTCTTAATGTCTAGTGACATATCAGGGACATTTTATGATTAATTTAAATACATTTCTCACATACGGTTCCTTTAATAACAACACTATTGACACTCTCAAACACTCTCAAACTGAATATCCATTTTTTCATTCTGTACATTAAGTTTCTTTTTGCCTAAATTCACTCATTTCACACATTTAAATTATCTAATTTCCAATTAATTATATAGTCGTATAATTATTACATAATTACAACTTTTATGGTTGTTTTTTTGGCACTCGACAGCCCCTGTAATGAAGCATTTGAATCATTCTTCTAAATAACTTAATTTGAGTAGAAGACAAATCATGCATGTTCTAAACAACATCAGGGTGAGCAAATAATTCAAAATAAATCCCACAACAACAGACCCAGCAATTTCCTGAATACTGTTAGAATATTTGTTATTTTACTAGATATCCTCTTCCAACTATCACACAGAATTTAAATGAAGAGATGGGTTGCCAACATTATTGTAAGATAAAATGATGCATTGGCTCAGGCCACCTCACAACTGCAATGTTGAAATTACTTAAACACTGATGGAAAGAAAGTGCCTTCTGATGTTGAAAGCAAATTCACTCTCCGCTGGTGCTTTTATTGCAATAGGAGTGCAGTCAATTGTGTCGATTACGATTACGCTGAAAATTGCCTTTTGAGTGTAACTGTTGAATTCAACATACAGCATGTTTTTAAAACCATCTGTTCAATTCACCTCAGTTGATGCCAACTATGGCGAGTGTATGTAGCCTACGCTTGGGCGAACATTTGCATAATGGTATGTGCACTAATAAGTTTGTTTATTATTATTTCAGATGTGTACATTGCATATTACATACACATTTGTCATATGAAATTTGTGTGTGCTTTTCTCCAGGAGACCCCTGGTCTTCTCAGTTGTAGCAGCAGTTGATGGATCAATATAGGTCCACAGATCAGTGGGATCTGAGGAACACATCATGGACATCTGTAGTACAGAGGATTGGCCTTTTTGTGTGTGATTCAGATTGTCTGTGATAAGTGTAAAATTTCTAGCACAAAAGAGCAGATCGGAAAAATAGCCACCCTTGGAGAGCTGAGCCTTTAGAGAGAAGCTTATTTAATGACCTGTCTCTGGCAAACTTTCAAAGATTCAGTTTAAATTTATTATAGATTAGATATAATTTATTTGTCAAATTCTCTGGCAAACTTTCAAAGATTCAGTTTAAATTTATTATAGATTAGATATAATTTATTAGTCAAAGTCAAATTTAGTTGTATAGCGCTTTTCACAACCCAAATTTCCAATGCAGCTTTACAGAAAACCATGATGTTATCAATGTTTATTATATCTTAACATCTTAATATCTTGGTGAACGTGATTTCACCAAGTACAAGAAGTTCCTAGATCAACATCTTTGTTGATTTGCTTACAACCAGGGCTAGGTGCTTCTACATCTGTGTTATTCACTTATCTTTTCCAGCTGATTTTAGGTATAAGTTATGGGTAGGTTTAGGTTTAGGTTTAGGTTTAGGGGTAGGGATAGGGTTAGGAATACATTTTTGACAGGAATGTTATTCCAGGATCAATACAAATGTGTTACATTTTTTAATATCCACGAACATGTCTTGGCAAAATCACGGTGACCTAATATCTTCATGCCTTACTTCACATTTAACAGCTTATTACTAGGTGATAATATAGTAAACATTTTGTGATTATAAAAACATTTAATCAGTTGAGAAATGGTATATAGTATATTTAGTATCACTCTACACGAGTATACTCTATGTCTGCAGATAAAGTTGGATATACTTATATATCCAAATTTGTATACAGAGCTGTGTAAATACAGTTTACATTTTGTGATGATAATTAATAAATCACATATAGCTGAGATTTTCTATATAGTATATATTGCTTTATATTACGGTTAAGTACTGTAGATGTACTATATATCCAACTTTTAATATATTGGTGGGTGAAAATTTAGTTAAAAATGTTCTGTGATAAACAATCAAGCAGTTGAGATGTGTGATAAATACAATACAAAACGTGAGTGTATTGTATATATCTAAGGTTGGATATACTGTACAGTAGTCCGGTAATTTGTTATTAATTATTAACTTATTAATTAATTCCAGTTATTCATTTATTTGATGATATTAATAATGATTAATAAGATATTAATAAGATGATTATAAAACCAATGAAATCTATTACTCTTGATTTGCTTGACTGAGTTGTATTTTCATTATATTTTGGTTTCCTAAGGACATTTACATGCCCACAATGCAACAAGCCTCTCAAGGCAGTTAAGCAAACATGATGGATGGCATGAAACCAATCACTCAGCTGTGCATATTTTAATTCAACTACAGAAAGCAGCAGTTCTCTTACGAGAGGTTCTCTCGTATTGCGTAAGCTTGCTTACGCTACGGGTAAAGTCATCTTTTCTCGAGATATGAAGCCAAAAAATGATCCTTAATTTTGTATTTATTGTCAACGCAGTGCAGCAGCTAGCAGACCTAGAGCAGGCTGTCTAGCGTGCTCATTGGCTGCTTCGCGGCAACTGCAGCAGCCTACCACTGAGCCTGGCGTTATGTCGCGCCCTTTACGCATCACAGCCCGCCAGAATGTGTGTGGCTTAGCGTATAAAAGCACGGCTCGGAGGCTTCAGCCATCCGTGCCTGCTACGCTATCCGGCAACAATATCCTTTTGCTCTGCTGTGTGTGTTCGCCGCTGCGCCGGATATTGTCGATATTTTTTTGTGAAAACGCCTCGCATTTCCTGTAGCTTGTCCGAGCCCCGCTCAGCGCCGGAGACCGCCATTGATGGCGCTCTCTGCCTGGGCCCAGTCACGTAGCCCTCACTCTTTCGCGGGCGGCTGTGTCCACTGCGAAGAGTTGTCAATGTCGACCCTGCGGGCTCCACTCGACCTCTTCAAGTGCTGAAGCTGTCACTCCGCCCTCTGCTGGACCGCGCAAAAGTAGCGCCGTGTACAGAGACTGCCGGAGCCTCACGTGGCATTCAAGCGCTCGCCGGATCAACTCCCTCGAGCGCCTCTCTCTCCTTCTCCGCCCCCCTCCCTCCCAGACGCACAGCCGCCGGCTCCCGCCCGCGCTGCCGCCGCCTCAGGGGACGAGGCGCTTGATATGGATGAGGTCGCCGCCGCTGACAGCTGTTCTAACCGCGGCTAGCTTTCTTTACGTTACAAGAAAGCTACCCCGCGCCCACGCGCATGCGTTACTCACCGGCGAAAAGGGGAAAGAGAGTGGTTTAGTCCCGCCGAGGACGGACAAACCCCCATTTTCCAAACATTTCTCAGCTCCTCCGAGTTCGAGCGGCTGGAATTGTCAACACGCCTGCTACAAACACTGACACATAACTGTGATGACGCTCTTATCTGATCGCGCTAAATCAAGCTTATGTTGTTTCCCCCTGTGGCTTAGTGGCGAAACCCATAGCTTTCGCGCCAGAGACCCGTGTTCGAATCCCGGCTCGGGCAGCAGATAAAATTTATGCGGCTCTCCTCTCGGAGCACACGGCCAGCTTTCTTACGTACAGAGAGCGAACACGCCCTCGCCCCCTCCCGTTCATATGGCGGGGCTAGAGTATTTATGAGTGTCTCAAACATATGAGCCCACGCTGGCCCGCCCCGCGTGACTCACTCTAACATTGAGACACCCGCACCAGAGACTCGAGTAAAACTCAAACATTTCTCAGCTCCTCCGTGTGGCTGGAAATGTCAATATTGCAGCAATGTGCCTGTTATATAACATGCACGCCTGCAAACAAAAGCCGACACAACACTGTGATGACGCTCTCTCTCCTCTCTGAGCTCGCGCCAGCTTTCTTACGTTCAGAAAGT